AAGAATGTCCACTCACTAAAAGAAGAAGTGTCTATCTGAATGAACTATTGAAGTGACACCTATTCCGGGGGTTGGGTGGGTATGTACAGTACAGTAGACATTTTCAGCTTTAGATGTTTCTGTGCTGTAAAATGTTCTTGTAAGAGGCAGAGACTGGGGTTTATTCTGGCAATATGAGTTGGGATTCTACATTCTGTTTGTGAACCAATGCCCTGAAAATTCAAACTAATTAAATTAAAGGATAACATTATAACTGGTAGGTTAATTGCCTTGATAATGTCTCACATGCTGCTGCTGTAATCCTTTTCATATTCCTGTGTGTTTGGCCTCTAATTTACACAAGTTACATTTTAAGCTTAATGATAATTTCCATTTTTAGGCTGTCTCAATAGTCCTCCAAGATAAACTACATTAGCCCCTTAGCAGAAGTAACAGTTAACACAACACATATGAATACAATAGGATCTATACACGAATCTAAATAAAATCAGTATTAAAAGAATCCAATGTCTCAGATCACACATGTAAATAAAATAAAATATATATGCAGACAAATTAAATAAATACAATAATTTAAAAAGTAAAAAATGTTATTAAAAATTGTTTGGAAAAAACATTGCAAAAAGGGCACTCATCATGTCACAGGGCAAAAGAGCAAGTGTTTGGGCACCAACTGTGATCTGTCTGTACACATACAGTCAGGGAAAAAAATATTTGAACCCCATCTGATTTTGTAAGTTTGCCCACTAACAAAGAAATGATCAGTCTACAATTTCAATGGTAGGTTTATTTGAACAGTGAGAGACACAACAATAACAAAAAAATCCAGAAAAATGCATTACAAAAAATGTATAAAGTAATTTGCATTTTCATGAATGAAATAAGTATTTGATCCCCTATCAGTCAGCAAGATCTCTGGTTCCCAGGTGTATTTTATACAGGTAACGAGCTGACATTGGGAGCCCTCTCAGCTCATTACCTGTATAAAAGAGAGCTGTCCACAGAAGCAATCAATCAATCCAAATTCCAAACTCTTCACCATGGCCAAGACCAAAGAGCTTTCCAAGGATGTCAGGGACAAGATTGTGGACCTACACAAGGCTGGAATGGGCTACAAGACCATCGCCAAGCAGCTGGGTGAGAAGGTGACAACAGTTGGTGCGATTATTCGCAAATGGAAGAAACATAAATTAACTGCCAATCTCCCTCGGTCTGGAGCTCCATGCAAGATCTCACCTCGTGGAGTTTCAATGATAATGAGAACGGTGAGGAATCAGCCCAGAACTACTCGGAAGGAACTTGTCAATGATCTCAAGGTAGCTGGGACCATAGTCACCAAAAAAAGAGTTGGTAACACACTACGCTGTGAAGGACTGAAATCCTGCTGTGCCCGCAAGGTCCCCCTGCTCAAGAAAGCACATCAACAGGCCCGTTTGAAGTTTGCCACTGAACATCTGACTGAATCAGAGGAAGACTGGGTGAAAGTGTTGTGGTCAGATGAGACCAAAATCGAGCTCTTTGGCATCAACTCAACTCACTGTGTTTGGA